GCTCGAGGACGGCGGCGCTCGAGGACGGCGGCGCTCGAGGACGGCGGCGCTCGAGGACGGCGGCGCTCACGTTTGGGACTGTCGGGCACATCAATGCTTTACTCGCTCGATTTTGCGTGCTCACTTCCGCACCGTTCCAAAGAACCCAGTCGAATTAAACCACTTGCATGAATTACAGTTTTATTGGTTCACTCTTGTGACTGGTAGTTTTCCGTGTTTTTTCCAATCAGCACTGAGTTACTGGGGAGTGGTGCCCTAACACAGGGAACATATATCTTCCTCACTCCTGTCCCCTCCTCTCCACGTGCACAAACACACTAAACATGCAGGCACTAAACTGTCATATATGTAGGGAAATCCGAAAAGGTGGCGCAGGACATCAACTGTTGTCACTGCAGTCTCTTACCGTGAGGTCTTAGGTCCGTGTCCCGACCGTGGCAGGACTTTCGACTCTGGCTAAATGGCTAGGTCGAGTTCCGTCGCTGTCTGGTGGAGAATTATAGCGGCCGGCTGCTCTGACCGGTAGTTTTTCGTGGTTTCTCCGATCAACGCCAGGCGAATGCCGGAGTAGTACCCTACCAAACGGGCCACGGACCGCGCGCTGTCTTTTCTGCCCATTCCTTGCCCTATCGTCACCCCCATACCCACGCACACACGCGCGCGCGTACATGCACTACACTACCACATATGTCGGGATACCGGTTCGAAAGGTTAGAGCTTGTCCCGGCTTCACTCACAACATGCCCCAATCTTATTGTTAGGTGCAACCAGGATCCCCAACTAATTTCAACGTTATCATTTATTTTAATATTAAACATAAGTAATACAAATACAAATGTTTTTTACTATGCTTTAATTGAGTTTCACTTCTTGCATTTACAAGAGAGCGATGTTGTTGCAAGCGTTGCGTAATTTTTTAGTGGGGGCTCAAGCGCCCGGTCCGGATGCAATACAAGAGGGGAATGGGGTATTGAAAATATTCCGAATTTGCGTCACGTAATTTATGCACGGCACCTTATCTACACTCTTATCTCTGTGTACTTCTCGGCCCACATTCTCGCGAAGGCAAAAGTAATTCACCTTATGTTTGTCTCCCCTTCTACCCGTAATCATTCCATTTTGGGGCAATTTCAACTTCCAATTTTTAATAACTGTTATGAGGCACATGCCTGGCTACATTTACATTGAGATTTATTTAGTCAAAAAACAGTAAAAACTGTATGTGACGTATGGGGGAGAAGATAATCTGCTTACGTCTTCTTGAATTCCAGAATCCCTTCCGATGATTTTAACTATTGCGACTCTTGGTTTTGCTCCTTACTTTCGCTTCTTCGTAACTTCAGGCACACATTGCATCTGCAATTGCGCCTGCCAGCAAAGTGGAACTGCAAACACTGCCTCGAGAGCAACGCTAACAGCCGATCACGCAACTCACTACCAATCAATATCTACGCTCAAGCTCACATCACAGACGTCGCACAGAATGACGCTCACAGTCTAGTAAACTATTCATAATGCTCTTTGCAACACTGCTGCACTCTTCGTTCACTCATGTCCAAGAACTACTGGCAACGTCCACCCGTGTCGAATGTTGATCGTCATCTCAATATCCGCACTCCCAATTGTCTGCGCGCGTGCCCGTCCAGGTGCAACAGCAAACACATATGCACAATATGCTAGTCGAAACGCTCGCTAGCTCTTGCGATGCAGTGAACTGCACTCTCACTAGTGCAAACATATGGAAACGCTAAAGCAGACCATCACATCCGTGCATGTGCATTTGCACGCTCGAGTTCGTGTTCTGCTTTTACATGGCTGTATGCGTTACGGATTTTGACGTTGGTACAATCCGAACGATGTGTTATTACAATGATATTTTATTGAATTTCGTCTGGGATCTGTTCTTTAAGGTCTTGTATGAAATGTTCTATTCGTTCATTTTTTCCTTTCTCATTTATTTTATTATTATTTTCAAATCAGATTTTCTACTTTTGTTAACATTTAATTATTATTTAATTTACTACCATTTAATATCTCTCTCTGACGTGTTATAAATAGGGTTGGGTGGAAGACATATTCATTTCACCTACTTTTATCTAACATTTGTTGTTATACAGTTATTCGAAATATTTTTTTGCCAAGTGATGATTCCCTTTTTATTATTTATTTCTATTTGTTTTTCAAACAAGAGATTTAATTAGTTTGCCGAATTTATCATTTATTATATCATCTCAAAAAACTAAATAAAAGCATTTATAATATCTCAGTTAAATATTGCTCCGGGGATTTAATACATCTATTTGATATTCTAATACTCATTTAGTAGAAGTGTGTATTCACTTTAAAGCGTTTTAATCTTCTTAATTATCTCATAATATATTTTTGAATACCTATGAATATTGTCAAAAGCACTTTCAAATACTACTTTGTAAGTTCTTCACTTTTTAAATAAATTGTACTTATTCTGCAGAAAGGTAATTTTAGATTGCAAACGACATTGAGCAATAAATTGAGACTCATAGTGATAAATTTTGGGGTTGAGAAATTCATCTTTAACTCTTTGAAAGTTAACGTAAAATATATGCAAAAAAGCTAAATCCATAGTTAATTTCAATAAATCAGTTAAATATTCATATTTTCGGAACCCACACTGAATATATCGGATTTTTCATTTCAATAACTTATATTTTTGGTCGTACTGTGTAATGCATTAATAAGAATAAATATAATAATAATAATAACAAAAACAATTTCCAAAATAAGAAGAAGCGATATGTGGCAACATGTAGTACAAATTTGGCGTGTTAGAGTGCCTGAGAATTTTGCACTGTTTCAGCATGTTCAATAAGATATCACATTGAATATGTTTTTAATGTAATTTCTTATTGCATCACACAGTGACTGCACAAAGTTTTCTTTTCTTTTAATGAACAGCGAATCGAATACTATGTACAATCATCATTTTAAGAAAAAAAGAGGTGTGATATTTTTAGAGACCCCTCACGGAGACTATCATAATTTTTATTAGTGATTTATTACAAAAGTTCAGAATTCGTCAAACTCGTAAATATTTTATTTCAGTTCCCCCCTACCTTTAGTTACGAGTTTAATCACAGTAGTAATGGTCACGTTCTATTGTATTAAAACTTTTTTTAGCACGCAAAGCGAGGGAGGATGCGTGGGCATTTACAGCTTCACCTTTCTTTGTCAGGTGATCAGACTGGAGGTTTGCCATAGCTTTCCATAACAGAGGTGCTCATGAGGAGGTATTACGACGAAATGTGAATAATTATGATTGGAATGGAGTTCGATTAAAATACATGGTGAGGTAGGAAAGCCGTTCACGCAACACCAGTTCGTTAAATCGCCTGGTATACGAACCCGAAGCCTTCGCCCCCGCGTACTTCAAGCTCAGGCCCCTACACCACCGAAGCCTGTTTTCTTTCTCTCTAACACTCATTTGTTATATTCAAAATAATTACGTTTTGCTATGTGTGAACGATGCAAATTTTAGATTGCGGGTGTATTCTCATATGTAGAAGCAATTTACGTATGTAAGTGTACGTGAATATACTTGGAGATAGATCGAGATTATATATAAATAAACATAATAGCAAATCATTTAAACCAGAGGGAGGGACGAAAGGATTGCATATGCAAATTGGACGCGCACAATCGCGGATGCAAAATTCATTGTGATGGTAATAGTTTACATGTTAAATGTAGCGATTTATAACTTAAGTACATAGTAGTAGAATGAAGTTTTAATCTAAATATTTGTGGTTGAATAAATAGAATGCTTATTTATTCAAAGGTTATAAAAGAATGCAATTTATTTCATTTTCATTCAAGATTGGGAAACATAATGTCTTACTTTGCGTTACATTCATAAATTACATATCAATTTTTTAATTTACTATAGATAGTGACGTCAGGAGAATTTGTACAATCTTGAAATAACAAGATTAACTTAGGTTACGAACACATTGTCTGTATCAATCATTCAACAGGATACTAGTAAAGTCCTCCCACTTAAGGTATCGGTTATTTGATCATATGTTTCTAGCACATTGGATTTTCATAATATTATGAGCTTAATTTGAATCATCAACTCATCCACAATCACTCATCACATCAACCTTCACCCCGCATGATCAATCTTCTTTCTTTAATACTGTGGAAGCCTTCGTGATCACCTTTGTGCTCAGAAAAGGGGAGTTATATCACACCCATAAGCCTCCTCATCCTTTTACAACCAGAATTGAAAAAGTCACTCATATCAGGGCTTTATTTAGCACTCAATCTTTAAATTAGGGATATTCTTTATGGTTAGCACTTATTGACAAATTACCTTCACCATGGACACCCGTATCTTAATTGAACCGAGCTTACCATCCAGTTTCTTCATTGCCCCGAGAACGAATTTTTGACAATTGAGTTAGTACTAAGGAGTTTTCTGTGTACTTCTACTGTTGTAATCTGTAGCTATCGTCTATTGTCACCAATCTTCTGAAAAGCAAGACTCCGGAGAGCCGTCAATTACTATGTAATGCTGTTATTTGGTCAGTAAATTATTATTAAAATTTAATTTTCGAGCATATCAATTCTTTCCTGGCGGAACTCTGATCATTTACTTAGCGAATACATCCAGAAGATTCTAAGAAATCTACCTTAAAATATTTTTTAATGAACTACAAATCATTTTCTGTAATTTGCGTCATTTGCAGGATTACAGGGAGGGTAATCAATATCTTACTCAACTCCTCTCAATAAGACAAACTTATTTGCACACTTCTTAACCGGTTTCTTCTAAAATATTCTGTAAGAATTCTACGAAAACACGTGCTTATTATAGTTTTAATGCGTCAACGCAATTGAGTATTATTTTTCTTTCTTTCCCGTATTTTCGTTACGACTTATTTCATAATTCGCAATAATTAACAGTAATTTTTTAAAGAAACAAAAAAGAAATCCAATATTTTAAACAATACATATCTGATTTATCTCTCGCTGCTCAAAAATTCGAACGGGGTTTATGTTTATAATGTATTTTTATTAAAAACGTGTACACCACATACACAACTTTTAACCCTAGAAAGCAAAGGAGGATTTCGAGAGCCTCCTATTTCGATATTGCCATCACTTTACTTGATTCATGTGGTCTTTATTGCCGAGAACTAATATAATTGTTGAGATAGCTTCACCCTTTGATTTCCACAATGGCAGAAGATGTGCATTTTTTTTACATCTGCGTTTTTCTCCTGCGAATTCCACTGTCTTTCAGTTGTTTATTCATTAAAGATGTCAGAAAGGTTGGCTGACCAGAAATTGAAAAATATTTGTAAAGGAGTGTATAATGATTGAGATTAAAAGTGGATTTCTTGAAGAAATTTGCATTTCTCAGTGTTCAGTTCAGCTCAAATATATTATCTCTTGATAAGAGCATACCCAATTTTTTGTTTGAATTACACGAGTGAGCGTGAGGCGTCTCTCTCCCCCGTTACTATTTATATTCTCATGTTAATAGGATTAGACATTAGTATTTATTTCTCTTATTACGAAAAGTAACACGAAATGCCATGCGATGCGAGTAGACAGTGCTAAGTGTAGCGTCACAGCTTGGCAACAGCACTCCGAGTGCAAGGTAGAGGGTTGGGGGATCTAAAAATAGACGCCCAAACAAAGCCGGGACTTTCCAACCAGAAATGGTCCGCGGGCCAGGCAGCGCCATGAAATGGCTCTTTCCACCGGGCGGGGTGGGGAGTAGTGACGTAGGTGGTCAGGTGACCTGAACCTATGAAGACGCCGCGGCGAGACGGCGCGAAGGCGCGGAGGGGAACGTTCCTGGTTTCCTCGTGGCTAGACCACAAAAACTTTGTCCGCCCAGGCTGGTGCGGAGTGCCGATGGCACGTGGTTGTTCGACGAGTTCCGACAGGGTGATGTGTTCTTCAAACACATTCGGGCAGATCGTCGATCTGCCGGGGCACACCAGGTGCCAATTTGCGAGGCGGCCTAGCAGGCCGGTCGCAGGCGTCGCCGCAAGGCGCATGTAGGGAGAGGGGGACTGCAGTGATGGCTCTGGCAAACCACCTTAGAGTGAAAGTTGTTAATATGTACATTGTGTAAATAAAACTTGTATATACTCACTCGTGTCTGTTTCCTTGTGGTGTAGATCACTACACACGACGTTACATAAGTAAAGAGCGGCCGCGCCCCTCGCTGCCGCAGGCCGGGCTGTACGTGAAGTTCGAGCGCGACGCGCTGGGCAACGTGCACGCCAAGCGCAACAGCTCCGCGCAGCGCGTGGGCGCGGCCCCGCAGCCCTACCGCCCCTACCGACTCGCCCTGCGCCACCTCGGCGGCGCCTTCCACGCGCTGGGCTGGGCGCTGGGCGGCGCCGCCGCCGCCTTCCTCGCGGAGCTGCTCTGCGCGCCGCCGCGGCGCTGCCGGCGGCCGCCAAGGCGCCTTCGCGCCGAGCGGAGAGTGCCTCGGCACCCTCCGACTCACTGAACTGCAAGAAAAAGTGTGAGCGGTTCGGGTGCCTTCTTTCGTTGCCTTTGACTTCCGGTGGTAATAAAATGTAATACAAATGGAGTTCTTACTTTCTTCTCTCATTTGTCATTGATGTTTCCGTAAAGATACAAGGGAATCGGCGGAAACGAAGATATGCGCTACTGTTTGCGTCATTTATGGTTTGGTATCTAAACTTATGTTTTCTGAGATATACAAATCAATAAACATAAAGATACTCGAGGCATTACCATGGGGTCGTTGACGACGCTAGTCTCTTGGGATATTTACGGAAATACATTAAAATCCTGAGCGTATTTGATTGTGGCTCAATGATCTTTTATTCAAAGAATTATTTATGTTCCCAGTTTCTTCTCTCATTTGTCACTAATGTTTCCGTAAGGATACAAGGGAATCGGCGTGAACTGTGATAATCGCTACTGTTTGCCTCATTTGTCGTGTGGCAAAATTCTTCTAGGAAAGAGATTGAGCAATTCAATGCCGGAATGCGTTGAGGTGGAAAGACAAAAATTTAAAGAATGTGTAGATCCTTCCGACCCTACCACCCGTCCAGCACCATCTGTGCAGCGCCTTCCTCATGCTGAGCTGGGCGCTGAACGCCACCACCGCCCTCTTCGCAGAGCTGCTCGGCGCCCCCCCCTCTCGCCGGCGTTAACGCAATCGGCGAAGACGCCTTCACGCCAACCGGAGAGTGCCTCGGACCCCTACGACTCGCGTGGCGCGGGAGATGAACTGAACTGGAAAGAAAAAGTGTGAGCGGTTCGGGTGCCTTCTTTCGTTACCTTTGACATCCGATGGTAATAAAATGTAATACAAATGGAGTTCTAACTTTCTTCTCTCATTTGTCACTTATGTTTGCGTAAGGAAACAAGGGAATCGGCGTGAACTGTGATAATCGTTACTGTTTGCGTCATTTATGATTTAGTATGTCACCTTATATTTTCTGAGATAAATCAATAAACATAAAGATTTGATTTTGTCACTCGTGTGTCATGTAATCCCCCGAGTAGCATGGGGTTGTTGACGACCCCAATCTCTTGAAAAAATTACGTAAATTCATTAACAACCTGAGCGGGTTTAATTGTGGCTCAATGATATACGTTCTAGCAAGACCGTGATACTCGGAGAGTTAAGGATGTAAGGATTTTTTTAAATTGTTAATCTGCGCTATTTAAATAATTTATGGTGATCGGAGGACTAAATGAATGAATTTAAGTGAAAAGTTACTAAAATATTCCAAAGTTCTGTGATTGGTGACAATACAACCGACTCTACCATTTCGTCTTGCAGCGTCAATTCGGCACTTCTTCGCGCGTTTCCTTCGTTGCTGAGTTGTTTGGGCTTCGCCTCACCGCCGCCGCCGCCGCCGCCGCCGCCGCCGCCGCCGCCGCCGCCGCCGACGACGACGACGGCGACGCCTATATGCCAAAAGTAGGATGACTAGAAGTGACTGTGTCTGGTCTTGTGACTGGTCAGTCACAAAAGTTGGCGTAACTGTAGATGAACTGGTCAGTTCTCCCAAGGGTCGTCTACCGTCAGCGGCGGCGATGGTGTAATGGTTAGCGTATCGGACTATTATACCCAAGTTCGCAGATTCAAACCCGATCGAAGCCCGTGGATTTGTAAGGGCGAAAAAAACCCTTCGTACACCTTCCAGCCTTAACGCCGACTGAACCATGTTAGTACATTTACTGACATGTAAAAAATCCTCAAGCCTAAATGACGACCCCGAGCTAAATTCAAATCTCCTGTTTCTTCACCCAAAAAATACCTCCTTTCTCCGCTAGTTGGTGATCAGACGGAAGAGCAGGCCTCATGGCCTTAATCTCGCCAGTAAAATAAGACATCAATTCTATTCAATTCACTGCTATCGAAACAAAAAAAGTATCATCTTAACCACATTCTTCCCTCATTTGCAAATAGCTTCTAGAAGCATAATCTCAAAAAACTATAATTATACAGAAAATATACTTTATGATCCCTCACTGCATCATATAGTCAGTTAAGGATGTGACTGGAGCATTTGCACAATGTGTGATTTGTTACGATTTTTAACATCGATATAAATTGCACGATTAAAACATAACTTTTGTTAAAAGCAACAATTATTACCAAATGGATAAGTCCTGCAATTGGCATTACCCGTGCTTTACCGCCTGGACTCGGCGACGCCTAGGCACCAAGCAGAGAATTCCTCTGATTGTGAGAAGACTGTGCCACGTAACATGTTGATAGACGGACTAAATATTCCACTCCTATGTGATCGTTTACCACTATTGCCTGGAATTTATACTTGCATGTGATGATAATAGAAGCGAATCAAATATATTTTGATAATGTTAGCATAATGTAGTATGATAGAAACTGATACAGGTTGAGCTTGAACGGTTGAAAGCTTGAATGATCTTGTTGAATAGAAAAAAATAGCGATGGAGGGTTTTGGTGGTTTAATTATGAAGATATAATTTCATTTATGAATCAATGATATTGAGGAGAAAGCAGAGAATCAGAGAACCGGCAAACAATGTTCGAAAACTCGCCCCTAATTTCACATGGTTCTATTGAGGATTGAACCCCTGAAAAACCTGAATTGTGAGATAAGCGGTCTGATAACTAAACCACAAATCACTCGAATGTTCTCTGATTGGCGCTATTTCTGGCCCTACCACCGTGATATGCGTCACTGGGACGAAGCCTGCTCAGTTACACTGAACGCTATTCGCGGCAATTCAGAGACTACTCGTAAGCACATAACTCTATTTTTTTAAATACTGAGCTCCCTTAATTATGCCTACAAAACTCGTATAGATTTTTATAGACCCTTATACACTTGTGTAGACACTTATAGAGAAAATATACTCTTGTGGACAAATTAAACTTTTATGGACTCCAGCAGTCAAAGCAGACTCTGATTGTTTTTTAGGGAAGTCTGTTGCCATTGGTTTTCCCGTGAAAGTGTTAGTTTTCAAGAAAACTAGGCTTTCTTTCAGCTTACGAGTGCGTAGTGTAAATGCGCTAAGTGGTATGAATTCCACACCCGGAATTAAGAAGGAGCTAAGAAGACTGTTTTCTCTTAAACGATAATTTTCGACAGAAAATGATTGCACCATTTTTTAAAATAACAATACCAGTGTACATAATTTTTGTATGAATAAGTAAGGTTCACATGTGTTCGTAAATTCAAAATATGTGGTTTTGAAAATCAATATTTAAGTCCTGAAAAGATATATATTTGACTTAGAAATAATGTTTTTTCGAATTCTTAAGTGAAATCTTATGTACAATAATGAAATCCTTATATTTATATTTTAAGTAAGTAATTTACTACTCATCACTTCTTTCTTGAATATTTACGTGTATTCACAGATTTTGAATTTACTCTAATAAATATGGGTATGTTCAGTTTGTTAATTTGAAGTAAATAATCTAAACACACAAGTGTATGATGACTAGTTTACAAAGAAAAGGTTCTTACACACTAGAAAGTGCAGTTACATGAAATTAATAAAATGTCTTGTTCGTTAAGGTAATTAGTTTTTCTGTACTACTGTTTACGACACACTAAAAACTTCATTATCAAAAACTTAATAACTTGGTGAGAAGGTATTTATAAGTAATTGAAAGCCTATTCAATGTTCAAATGTAATTATTTTCCCATTAAAAACGTGTACTAAAATATCTATTTTAAGAACACTGTGGTTTAACTTTTCATGCTATCTTTTTGTACAGTAATTTTATATTATAGTTCTTTTAATCTTGCCAAACATTCATGTTTCTATTTTATTGTCAAATTAATAAATCGTTTGTTAAATACTTCTACTGGTGCATGGGATTAAAGATTTGGTAATTATTATTCCTCTCATGATAAATTACATGTATTGATGAGCTATAATGTATTTGACTGCAATAAAGGTACTAGAATGCCGAGCAAATTATGTTCCATTAATTTTAATACATAATGTGGATACACCCAGTAGTGAACTCTGATTAACTAGATTCGATCAATTTCATCTACAAATTAGAAACTAATTTTGAGTCGGTTGATTTACTATTTAACAAAACGCATTACCATTTGAATATAGATAGGTTTTTACTAGCTTTGATAATGTTCCACATTAAACATAGGTGCATCCAAATTCGTACTATTCACCTTGCAGTATTATATCCAAATTATTATCCACAATTCATTTTGCATTGGGTACCAGTTGGTTATTTATCAGCAGCTGCAGGGAAGAGAAATAAACAAATTCATGGATGCGAGAATGAGCATGATCATACAGACGTAATACAACGTATTTTCATTCTTTAGATATGTCTATCCAACATTCTTTTCAATATATGAATGCAGCACTTTTATAGTTTGTTTTGAAACGTGAGCGTAGCGTATTTTGAAACAAAAGTAATCACCAAAAGGGAAGAGAGAACAAGAACTGAGAAGGATATATTATGAACAGACAGCTCTGCACTCAAAAGAGATCAGAGGCCATACACAAACATAGGTTGGGATTTCTCGTGACCGAATAAGTCTGTCATTATCAACGAAAAATATAAAATATCCGTAACACTGGTATTATCTTCGTTTCCCTTTTATATTTCAACACGACCTGACACTGGAGCCTCCGCGTCCACAGAATGACAATGCAGGACCATGCATTCACACTGTCCAGGCTTGCAGGTACGTTTCCAGCTTGATAAATATCGGTCTCAGGAGAGGAAAAAGTGAAAGTAATAAGGAAATGGTAGAAGAGGCACAAATAAAGTGAAATACCAAAAATAGGCATGAGAAGCTAAAATAGGCAAAAAAATCAAAATAGAAATCTACTATAACAACTCCAGAAGTACAATAATGTGATTTCTATAGTTACAATAGTCACTATGATAAGGAATGTGTCATACTTCCGAGCTCTAGTCATAATGATTTAAAAATTCCTTCAACCTAAATGTAGAATCTTGGGTGTGATTCAAACATGGAAGAAACCAACCGAAAGTTGAATCCTACCACGCATCTTTTCTCATCCGAACCTCGCAACCACATCATTCTCCTTATCCTATCCCTACGCAAGCACTCCACACGGAACCCCGCCCTCCTACCCCCCCTTCGCCCCCTCCATGTAATTGCTGGCGCCGTCGCCCGCAGAACCGCCGGCATTGAAAAAGAACGCCAGGAGTCCCCCTCGTGGGATTAGGGCGAGCGTCAAAAATTTAATAGGCAATTTAATATTACTTCTCCCACCGCAGAATTTCCTTCCCTTATTTTCATTTTCCCCTCTTCACGAGCCGCTGCTGAATAAGACATAAAATGAATTGCGCCTCTCCTCCCTCCCTTCCCTCCTTCTTTTATGAAGTTTGCCTCCCAGATCCAAATCGACGGTCCAAATTAAAGATTCCTATCGTTTTATTACTACGTTGTAATGAAAATAACAAACAGATTCTCGTGTCGTGGTAGGGCGTGAGCTATGGGACGCTTCGATATTCAAATTAGCTCGGAGGACAAGCAATCAAGTCTTATCTTGTTTATGTAGACACGCAACAGAATGAAGCGAGTTTATCCCTGTTGTCGATGAATAATAATTTCTTTTGTGCGAGACCCCTACTCAAGTGTTATCTTAGACTTTCGCGGCCCGCACCCTCTGCTTTCATCGACGTAGCGAGTTGAAGGGTTTGGCGAGGAGAGTTGCCTGAGATACAGGCAGAGAGCGCGCTCGGCGCAAGAAAACCCTAGAGACCCTAGATATAGAGTAGTGCATTCCAAAGTTCCACAGATCCCACCATTTTATATCCAGTTGTCAGGAAAACTAGAACTGTGTGATGATCTGTGTGTTGATCTGTGTGTTGAGAACCATGACCCCCAACCTGAGAGCCATGATCCCAAACCAATATTAATATTCTTGAAAATCTCCATAACGTCACCTACTGCTATAATTTTTCTTTTGTTCATGATTGCTGCCTGGCGGCTGAGAGAATATTAAATGGCGGCGGTTGCACCACTCTCTGTATCTAGGGACCCTAGATAATACCTACTATCTGGAAGATACACCCCAATAAACCTGGGGCGGACAACGTGGTGATGCAAGACAATGTTTCAAAGTGGAGCATACCTTTCATTAACCTTTCATTACCTCACATTCGAATTTCAATCCTGACATTTTCTTGAATTCATCAGATTTCAAACTTTTCAATTCATACTATTAGAGTAAATAGTAAAACACTTCAATGCCTAATGAAAACTCCGAATCCGTACTAAAACGGAACAATGTAGTATCAGTGGAGTTTTGAGAGGAAGAAGTGTAATGCAAATAATTAGATTCTTTCTGTTGAAGAAACAAATTTTGACAAACATTTACAAAAATTGGTCATTAAAGAAATATATGAAACATTAATGACTATTGGAGCAAACAATACAAAAAGATTCTTTTAAAACACTTCTAGATTTGAAAAAC